TTAGCTGTTGAATGTCTTCACGAGACCATGCCGAGTCTCCGCTTGTACCCGGCCCACATAAGCTTTTGGTCGGCGGATAGGTTTCCGACAAGTTCCTGGAGAAGCATCGGAATCGACAGGGGTGCATGTTCGTTGGCTGCTTCGATATGATCGCAAAGGCCCCAAGGTTCATTGGACTGCGATCAGACCCTCCAACTTGTCATGCTTTGGAGCGGGAATTTTCCGCAGCTTTTCTAGCAACGCGTTAATGTGGTGTTTACATCTGTGCGGATTTGCTAGCGTACTAGCACGTATTTCGGTTACTCCTAAAATCTCATACAGGTAGACGCTGATGCCTTGTTCACATTAGACTGGCTACTTTTTCCATATCGTATACGAAGTGCCTCGATGACTTGAGGTAACGCAGCAGGCAATACCAATCGACTACGCACCGTTTCGAGGGCGGGTGCTTTGAGGCACCTTTGTACTCGATGCATTTTCTCCCGGTGCGTGTACCCACATGAGGCGGTCGTATACTCGTAGTTCGAGATGAAAATAGGACAATCCGTAGGATCACCCGAGAAGTGTGGAAGATCGTGAGCCAACGGTTGACGAGCGGCAAGCTGATGCGGTGACGGATCGTTCTGGTTAACATTTAATCGCTGCTGTTGCTGTTGCTGCCTACTGTTCTGACGTAGGCTGCACGTTCCTATTCGTAGAGCGCACGAAGGGTTCACGCTGCTGTTCGAAGGGGATGCGTTGCTGTTGGCAACTATCGAGGGAAGTTTGCCCAAAATAGCACAAAAACCAAACCGTTGTTCCCTGGTGACATTGGGAACCTTTTCGAGAGGAATCGCGGAGGACTTATGAGGGACATTACCACCGTACATTTTATTTGGGCAACCACTTTCGTTAACATTACTCTTACCTGTACCGCCAACCTCATAGGCATGCTTCTTGTGGGCAACAAGGTCCCTAGGTTGCTGGTTACCTTTGTGTGCGTTGCCGGATGGATTCGGCAAATTGTACCGATGCTGACCGATCGTTGGGCTGATGCTCCAATCCGAGCTGCCCTTTGCACTGCTGCAGTTGACGTCTCAGCTCCTCCATTTGCTGACTGGTTGGAACTGATTGCAGTTGGCAGCATTCTAGCTGATTTACGAGATCGCGTACCATATCTACTACGTTGCGATTGTTTACATCCGTGGGTTGAGTGACTACCGGCGGATTTGACTGTCCACCGCTCCGGATGATTGCTGATCCAATCGGTCACATTTTTCCTTCTCTCGCGATTGCTGCAATTGTTCATGCAGAAACTTCTTTTGCATTTCGTGTTCCAGATGTTGGTACGGTCAAATTAAAAGGTATGGAACTGTTATTGAACAGCGTTTATTCCATTTTGGATCGCTTCAAACTAGAAATTTAAGTTAGGATTAGTTTAGCAATGTAGGTCTAGATTTATAGGTTAACACTTACAAATCAGTGGCCGTTCCTCCACAAGCCTCTGGCTGTCCAACTTAGTTTTAGTTTTACTTCTAGGTAGGAATTAGTATTATTAGGTTTAAATTCACTCAGTAGATTTTAAGAATATTTACTGTACGCAACAACCCGAGCAGGAGAAAATAACTAATAAATACCTAATTCTGACCTGATACCAAAATTTGGTGTTGACCAGCATGACATAAGAGGTTAAATACCAAAGAATAATACCAAAAAAATACATGCCAAATACTTTGTAAATAGCTAAAATTGATACATACCAAAAAAATATATGTGTGCTATTGTTTTGGTATTGCATTATAATTTGGGATTGGAATGGTATTGAAATGGTATTTTGGGAACATTTTTGACGTAGGACTACGTCTTTGATTTCTATATGGGGGCACACTTTGTGAAAACCGAAAATGGAACATGTAACAAATTAAGAAAGATTTTGAACGTTAATAACTCAGGTGCCCCTGGTCCAATTTAAATAATTTTATCATCAGTCGATCAGAAATATGGCTACGCATCGATAACAATGCTTCCGAGTGTTGATTTTCAACAAGAAACTATTGAAAAACTGGTAAATGTCCAGCATTGTCCAGAAGCGTCGAATTAACTAACAAATCCACCAATTACCAACATGCATATGCTGCTTCCCCAGCACAGTCGTCAGAGAGTAGTAAATAGACGAAACAAGACGAAGTGGCATTCGCCTCCGATCCTCGGGCGCGTGCGAATAGGGAGGATGGAATTGCGTAATATTTTGCACACTCATCGCCATATTCAGAACCAAACGCAAATTCTTCGAGATAACTACCATCCGTCGTCTGGCTCACCGTTGTGGTGTCTGACGTATCTCCGGTCTGATTTACAAGGTGTGCTGAAGGTGTTCCTGAAAAATGAGATCCGTGATGCTGTCACCTACACTAAACACGCCAAGCGTAAGCGGCCATGGATGTCATCTACGTTTTGAAGTGACAGAGACGCACTCTGTTTGGTTTCGGAGGTTAAATCATCACCAACTTTGGTAACAAAACGGTTCTTTTCAGGGCCACCAAGATTATTACAGTAAAGAGTAGGAATAGAATTCATCTGCCTGTTTGTCCATATTCAGAACCAACGACCACACAAAATGCTCATGTAATCAAACTGGAAGCAGGGGTACAAATTATTTTGATCAACCTTGATCAACTTTGAATCGCCACGGCCGGATATTTTCGATGGAAGAAGCAACAATCTAGCATCTAATTCAACGAAGACGGCAGGACAAATTTGTGAAGCCGAGTTATTTACGAAAGAGAGTGTCGATAAAGAGAATCGATCAATGTAGATAGAACCTATTGAAAAGTGACGCGAGATTTGTTTTCCGTACTGAGCTCCAATGCTACCGACGCCAGGGAGGCAGCTCCCACACCTGGACCTTACCAATCGAACCATCACCTCAACCGGGGACCAACGGCTTTACTTCCCGAAGGAAGGCGTGATCAGAGATGTTATGCCTTAGAACATGCCGGTGGCGCCGACTGAGATTGGACCCAGGCCTGCTGGGGTGAGAGGTAATCACGCTTACCACTACACCACCAGCGCCGATATCTTTCAAGGTGATATCACGGTCAATGAGAACGACACAAATTTGAGTTTAGTTATCTCAGAAATAAGAAATAAAGTACAGGAACTCAGCGATGAGTAAATTTACCTCATGTTTTCCCAGGGTTTTCCAGGATTTTCCAGGGAAAAATTCCAGAATTTGAGAAAAGTAAAGATTGGATTCACTCAGTCTATTGGTACTACTCCGAGACTGAATAAAATTTTCGTCAATTTCCTCATTTTCAGGCAGATTTTTTAGGTTTTCACAGGAAACCATGAGACAAATTTACTCATCGCTGAGTTCCTGCACTTTTGGCGATTATGAGTGAACTTAACTCAAATTTGGGTCGTTCTCAGTCGCCGTGTACGCAAAAGGAAAAGAGCCAGTGTCGCTACTTGATAGCAAACTACTCATAATGGGAGGAGTCTTTGTAGCTTTTATACCACTTGGTTGCACATCATTCTGCTTTAACCTGAAAATATATAAAGAGCCCTGCTGTATGGCGCTTCGGACGGCGTGGTGAGCAGCAATAGGAAGGTGGTGGCTAGTGCACTTCTTCACACCTAACAATTGACTGGTCGTGGCAAAGGAGAAAAAGGTCTGGTAAAGGAGGCGCCAAGCGTCATCGCAAAGTTCTTCAAGATAACCGCCATCGGTCGTCTGGCTCGCCGCGTCTAATCTACGAGGTGTGTTGAAGGTGTTCCTGGAAAATGAGGTCCGTGATGCTGTCACTTACACTAAACACGCCAAGAGTAAGTGGCCATGGGTGTCCTCTTCAATAAAACGGCCCTTTTCAGGGCCATCAAGCTTACATCATTAAAGAGTTGGAATAGAATTTATCTGTGCTTGTTTGTCCATATTCAGAACCACAAGCCCCCAACGACCACACAAAATGCTCTCCAGAGTTGTAATCTTGTAACCAAACTTGGAAGCAGGGGTGCAAGTGATTTTGATTGATTCTCTTAATCAACTTTCTCTTTGAAAAAAAATTACTACAAATTTGGTACGCCTACAATTCAAAAACGGAAAGAGTTGAGATAATAGATAATTGATCAATTAAAAGAACTAAATGATCTTCACATTTATTCCGTCCACTAGCGGTCCTACGTCAAGCTTCCGTTCGTGCCCCTAGGCACAGACCCTTCTACTTTTTTTACTCCCTGAAAATTTGGTGATAATCGGGTACAAACTCGAATTTTGAGAATAAATTTTGTGTGTGCGAATTAAACGGTACTACCTTTGAGTTCAGAGTGAGTGACATAGACTGCAACGTTCAAAGTGATGTCAAAAATCGAAATTTTATTCAATATCCATCAAATTTTGAGAAAACGTTATTAAATGTGGAGGAAACCTATAAAAAATATAAAACATCAAAAATAAAACCACAGTCATCAATGTTATTTTCAATAAATACCCTTCACGTCAATATATTGACACGTATGGAGTTCACTTTATTTAAAAAAAAAGTCGATCATCCCAACCCCAATGCAGGATAATGCCATGCCCATCGGAGCGTGGAACACCAACCTGCTGAGAGCAGAACGAAAGGGTCCGTCTCTCAAGTTCGCTCATTCTCACCCCTCAGCCCTATTCTGTTCAGTCTGGTTCTGATCCTAATGCCATTCAGGAGTCGCAGTTGGCAACATGCAAGTGCACATTGAGTGTGTTTTGTTCCCTCCACCTTGCCTGCCGTGTGATAGGTAAACCGTATGTCAAAACCTCCTATGTTTGTGTACATTTTTCAATGCTTCTCACGCTCATGTGAGCAATGATAACATCACCTACGCGGAGAGTGAGATCCACATTGAGTAGGGAGGCTCTCGACGAAGAATTCCCATGCCATTCATGTTGAACCAACAGCAGTAGCAGCAGCAGCATGTTTCGGTTTTCCTTCGGGTTTTCCTCAGTTGCTTCCGTGAGCGCCACCAGATCAGCCAAGCCAAGAGCGAGTGGGACAGTTGGAACACCTCCGACTGGCTATTACACTTTCAGTTTATTTTCAACTGCCGATTCTAGCGAAAGCGAAAACTGCTCCTGTTGGTGCGTCCAAGTCGAACGAAACGAAACCCTATTACTGCACACGGTGCGTGTGAGCGGGTTGGTTTGAGTGTATCGGTGTGCAGAATTTCTGCTCTGCCGTCATTTCTCTGAGTGAAATGTGTTATGTGTGAAAAAACGGGAAAGCATTTTCCTCGTGCCGAGTTTTCCAAATCTAGGAGGAAAATACAACATCCGTCACAATCTCTCGGTGTGTGGCGGATCAGTCTCGCGGTGGACGTGTGCGAAGTCGAAGGTTTTTCTGAGTGCTGACTCGATCCGCGTGTTCTGTGTTGCTCTCCTCCGAGTCAAGGGAAAAATCTATCTAGAGCATGGTTTAGTAGACGGATCCGAGGAAGAGTGGAAGCAATACCAAGCGTGAAATAGTGTGTTATAAAAAAGTGAGAATTAGCATTTTTCCTTCGCCTACTTGGTGGTACTTGAGTGAGGATATTTTTATGTTGCTGCTTGAAGTAGGCTGGGAGCAGCTCGAGCAACTGGAGCGATTAAGCGCTGATGTAATTTGCCCATTTTTCCGTTGAATTATTTTCGGGACTCGCGCTGGAAGGAGTTGACCTAGTAGGAAGAAGCAGAAGCAGAGAAGCAAGTGTGTGAATATTTGGCCGAGTTTTCGCAGAGATTTTTCCTCCGACTGCGACTTGTCGGGTGCGGAGGGAGTGCGAAAGCGCAGAATTCTTCTCGTCGTGTGTTGGCTGCTCGGGAAAATCAGCTTGTGTGTGATGAATTTTTGATGCTCATAAAATCAATATTGTGAGAGCCAAGAGAGATCCAGCGGATAGTGAAAATTGATTTTCATCTCGAATGTACTCGGTGACCGGACCAGGACCAGTGGTGGCCAGACATTTCGTTCGTGCCAATGGCCACTGCGATCAGCATCCAAATCCGAGACAAAACTAAGAAGAAGATTGTCGATAGCCTTCATCTCACGCGAATGCGTATGTATGTATGTGTGTGTGACTATCTGTATTACTTTCGCGAAGACGAGGAGCAGTGCGCGGAAGGGACTGCAGGGGAAATCTGCTCGGAGGACTTTTCCTTCGATGATGACGTTCCAAGAAACCAGAAGAAATATACAAAATGCAGTCATTCCGAGACACATCGAACAGTAGCCAGAGCAGTGTCTCCGGAGAGTGGAAAGTGGCTATTTTGGACGAAGACTGAAAAAAATGTCTCTCGGTTGCTCTCAGCGGTCATTTCTCCGTCCAATGATTCTATCTAAGCATGAGCCGCCCCTCCGGTACCGTCCTCCCAAGTCCTCCAAATCTCCACCATAACCTATCGGCAACAGAAGCAGAAGCAGAGAAGAAGAGAGCATCAGCAGTTAGCAGCAACAGCAGGGAAAATCTTCACCCTACTGTGCGGTGGGGTGGCTTTGGTTGCACGGGAAAAGCGGGGAAGCCACGTTTGACGAGCACTCGGTTGGTTTTGTACATGTGGGGAGGGATAAATAATTCAGTATTTTCCAGAACGGTTGGAATATGGATGGTTTAAGCTGCTTTACGAAGCAGCTCCGAACGGTGGTGGTGGTCCTGTGGTTAAAGGACGTTGAGGGGGAGAAGTTCCGGATCGTGATAAGATGAAGCACACAAGTAGATAGATTATCAACGAGCTGTAAACAACCACATCTCGTACGACGTGCAAAATATATGAAGGGCGAGATCAAGAGGCTCCGCTGAATGAGATTGAGTTCGATAAGATAATTATGAGTCGATTGAATACAACACACTCCGTTCCTCGAAGTTTCGAAACTATTTCAATAAAGCGATTATGGGGTTACTTTCGGGCGTGCTCTTTTGGGAAAAGGCTTTTGCGTTGGAATGCTGATGGAAGCTGAAACTTCCGTTGGGTTAACGGCAGATAAATTGTGAAATAGTTTTCGGATGCTTTTGGACAGTATGTTTAGCCGACTCATTAGTTGTTTTTATTGAATTGAGTAATTTTGAAGGTTTACATTCAAACAATTGGCTGTATAGATTCAAATTGCGGTCAAATTGATTTTTTTTAAATATCGCTGCAATGACAACTAAGATAATCTTACATCTTACAATTGTTTGAATCCTTATTGGTTTCGGCACTAAGCAAGGGGTTCTCAAAATGTGTCGACCTTTTCTTCTTCCGGAATGATTCTCTATTATTCCATAGTCATATTTTGCAGCATGAAAATACTGTAATATCCTAATCCTTGTAAATACTTTAAGGTTCAATTTTCTTAGATGCATTTTCAATAAATTCAATAGCAGTTTTTTTCGACGCATCATTTAGGATTGCAAAAAGCTCTTGTACATTTTGTGTAAAACAGCAAAAGGAATAGAATTACTTTTTGCAATGTACCCCTGGGGTAAAATGGCCCTGCACGGTATTTCGTTGCTTTCTCATTACTTGTTCTGGGATTGTATGTGCCGAAATGCTTCTTTAAGAACTGAATTGCTGCACGTTAAATTCACGAATTGATAATGGTAATGTTATGAACATCCACAGTGGGGTGATTTTATTGAAGGAGTCCGTTTAGACCTATCCTACCTTGCTGTTGTTTTGTTACGGCTGGCCTGTACCGACCTCTTGTATCGACCTCTTGTATCGCAGGAATACCGTTGTGCACAGTTCTAGTTAGAGTCCCACGCTGGCTCGAGTCGAGGATTTTGATCAGTCGCCCCCTAACATAGGGAAAAGACGCTGATTTGAGTCCGGAGATGAACTAACCATAGGCTGAAAATCTCCTTAATGAAGAATTAAAAAAAAAATGCTGGTTTGCGTCGCTCCTATCAGACGCTCGAGTTGTATAGGCCACGCCCTCCGGAAAAATGAGCCCTGGCTCTTATTTGTCAGCATTTAATCAATGTCCCAACGGTGTTGGTTATCTATGGTTCCTCTTACCACTATTAGGAGTTAGGTATTGGAAAATATGCTAACGACCACAATTTGAAGTCTGCAGGTACTTGTTATACCAGTAGTACGCAATGCCCAGCTGGTTACCAAGTTTATTTACTTATATTTACTATTGAAAACAAGAAGCAAGAAACATTTGAACGGTTGTAAACCACGTAGATACTTAAGGAGGGGTTAACACAAGTGGTACGTACAAATTAAAAAATGTATGGATGATTGTCCACACGGTGGGAGGGGGAGTCTTTAGTTTTCCAAAAACGGTTAGCTTAGTTTATGAACAGCCTCTGATCACCTTCTTGATTCAATTTTCGTTCTTACATCTTAAATTAATTTTCAATTTAATGGCATCGATTTTTTTTTATTGCCAGTTGTAAGGTATCAAGGTAAGGTACAATAGATCAAATTACTGGTCGCAGTGGTGTTATGTCCCGAACAGAGGAAAAAAAAAAAAAAAAAGGTGTCAGTTTTCTCACTAGTGATCCAGCTTTTAGACCTAGAGCCGAAATGAAATTTGAAATAGTTTTTTAAGTTTCTATTTGCGTAGATATATATTTAATTTAAGATAGGTCACTTACCCCAGATAGATGTCTAAAATCTTGGTTGATCATTGAGCAAATGTTCCAGATTTATCAGTATGATTTTGGACATCATTGGCTGAGTTAGTTGAGATTGAGCAATTTTAATAAAACGGCTTTTCTTTACTATTCTTTTTATAAGTGATTATTTTTGTTAGTTGTCATTCACAAATTACGTTAAGGATTTTTATTGATAATTAGACCCCCTACCCCCACTGTAAGATACTGTAAAATTTTTCAAGAAAATTCCAGAAAATTCGAAGTCTTCACTCATAACTTTAAAGGCTTTTATTCGATTGAGAGTTATTTTCAGAATTCTTCTAAAATAAATTTGGAATTCTCTCTGGAAGTCCCTTGAAAATATCTTTATCAAAATCCACAAATTATCTGTAGAACACTCAAAAAAATTCTTAAAATTCACCCTTAGATTCTCTTAGAATTTTAAACCCTTTCTAAGAATTCACTGGAGCTTCTTAAAAATTGCTTGAAATTTTCGTAGAGTTCCCATGCAACTCACCTCAAATTCTCAACCAACAATTGAAAAGGGAAATTCTCCCGCCGAGAATTGTTTTCCAATTTTGCTCAGAATTATCTTGGAGCACTCCTCTAAATTCTTCTGGAAATTGTATGGAATTCTCATTAAAATTGTATGTATGTATGTATGTAAGTAGCCACCATCCTAGCTTGGGTCTTGCCCTGCATGCGGCTCCACTCAACAGCAAGATCAAATTCCGTCATCATTCTGAATTCAACATACTGCTGTATGAAGGGCCAAAAAGGGTTGGACGGGCCCGTAAACAGAGGCCCTTACGCGAAACCCGCGGGAATAAGAGAATCTCCTTCCAACAATATGATCCAACAAAATGAATAACGAAATTCGCAATACATGTTAAGCTTTCCACGGGATGGTTTGTTTAAGAAGAGCGCGTCAAATTCATTGCAACTGTTGGAGTGGAATGTAACTATCTAAAATGACAGTACCCATTCCCTCCTAGACTCCGGTTGGCACTCCACTCCATTGTCCAGTTACAACTTCAATGATGCCCTGATGCTCCCTCCCGTCCCAGTATTTATTGTAATTTACACTATGAACTTATATATAATCATGTAATATATATTGTATATAAAATATGTAGTAAAATGAAAAATATAATGAAAAATAAAGATGTATAACAAAATACAAATAACCTAGATTATTGGGTCCTATACACACACTTTTTGTTTTATGTGCCATGAAATGACATAATGCATCATTGTATGTTTTGAAAATATAATACTAAAGTATTGGATCAATAGACCGAAAATCGAGGTTATTTGGACATGAGACATTATATTTAAAAGGATACTACCAAACCGACCATCAAACGCACTGCCCACAAAAGCAGACACGTCCCCTCGAAAATGAAATCGAGAAATGTACAAGAACAATCCTCAACTGGAACGTACTCACCAAATCAATATATCCGGGAGCGCATTCCCGATGTCGTCGAACGGCAAAAAAAAAGGGAACTCATTGAGCAAATTTGTGATACGGAATTTTCACTGAAAACAACCACGAATTTCACCACATCCAACTGCGAAACACGTTCAGAAGCACTTTTGGTACACTTTCGATATCAATTTTTTTTTATTTTATTTTTTTATTTTTTGCTAAAATAGTTGCAAGTGTACCAACATCAACACCAATCGTGCCAAGCTTTACACGCACCTTGCGCGCGTACATAAACTGAAATTAAAATTTTCACTCGCGATGCCACAAATTTCTGGTACGGGAGAAACAATCAAACCACGCAGCGCCACACCTTCTCATATGGAATTCTCATTAAAATTTTCTACAAGCTCAATTCGGAATGTTCTTGGAATTATACTCGGAATTTCCTTATAGATCTTCGCAGAATTATTTTGGAATTGTACGATCA